GTGTGTGTGTGTGTGTGTGTGTGTGTGTGTGTGTAGTATATATATATATATATATATATATATATATATATATATATATAAACTAAGAATTTGGTGCATATAATCTACAGATGAAAACTCATGGAAAGCAATATATTTTTGCAGCAGGTAGGGCCGGAGATGGGCCAGAACATTAAAATGTGGTTGTAACTGGTATACATATTTCTCTAATAGGTCTTAGAAGAAATCTGCCAGAAAAATAACTGGGGACAACCTGTTTATCAGCTTCATTCTGCAATTGGCCAGGACCAAAGACAACTATTCCTATATAAAATCACTATTCCTGCCCTTGCCAGCCAGAATCCTACTATGTATGTAACTATTCCATTTCGTATGGTTTTTAATCAGCTTTTTAAATTTTCAATTTATTTAGCATCATTGCTAGAATCAACTACATAGGCCACTATTTATTATAATTTTAGATTTGGAGAGGAAGGATAAAGTTCTACATTGAACAACGAGGATAAAACAAAACATTAGATAGCTACTCATTCAGTATGCACTATCCATCCTGTCTACTAAATGAGGCAGGAGTCCTGTAGAAAAAATAGTATATGATCAGGTAATTAAAGGCTGTATCAAAGCATATGTATAAAGGAGACAAATTAAAGTTGCACAGGCAACCTTAATTCTGGAATTTCCTAACTTTTAAGTAATTGACTTTGCAACCTTAATAATGTTTTCTTAAATAGTTTTTGCTGGGTAATTTCTTGGGATTTTTAAAAAGCAAACTGAATAAACAGAAATTCCATCAAGTGTCATCACATTGATACCCACATGGTTCATCAGCAGGTTTGGAATCTTTAGACCCACCTCAGACTTCTGTCACGTGAGCAAATAGCAGTAGTGGGCTGTTATCCTCTACATGAACCAGCACTAGAGCAGGATTCATCACACACTCTGCTAGTGGGTTTCACAGGTATTTGCTGACAGCAGAGGAATGGTGAGACTCAGGAATCTTGGATTCTATTCCCCGGTCTATAGAGGCTCAAACTCTTCTGCCCATTCTCCTCAAGCTTGACTCTTTCTGCCTTGTCCCCTCCAACTTATTCCTGTCCAAGGCTCAACTCTTCCCCACCCTACTACTCATCCCAGTCTCCTTACCTACCCAGTCCCAGTCTCCACTCCTCAGGCTTCTCATACCAGTCCCAGTCCCCTTGCCCAGCTAGCTGTAGTCTTCCTCCTTCCAGGCTCAATCTCCCCCCCAGATCCTTCTCTCCAGACATTTGTCCAGCCAGTCCCAGTTCCCGCCCTCCTAGCCCCATAGTTAATCTGCCCCCCCATACTCAGCCCCTGGTTTCCAGTCACCACACTATCCTTATATATCTCGCTTATCCTCGCTGTCTCACAGACCCTGAGTTCCTCGTCCAAATTCAGTGTCCACCCACCACTGCCTGCTTATCCCAGTCTGTTTGTCTAGTCAATGCCAGTTCTCCCCCTATACCCCAGCTCCTTGTCAGATCTGACCCTCCCTCCCCACAACTCCCAGTATCCTTCTCCCCCTGCTGCCTGCTTCCAGTCCCAGTTTCCATCCCCCCACTTCCTTGTTCCAATCTACTCCCTCTGACCCCCTTGGCCCAGCCCTTGTGCCCCCTACATTCAAAACCAGAAGTCTCTTCCTCCATGTTGCCTGAGCCCAATGCGGGAGGTCGTGGCACTGAGAACACAGAAGAGACAGGTTTCAAAGTAGCAGCCGTGTTAGTCTGTATCTGCAAAAAGAACAGGAGTACTTGTGGCACCTTAGAGACTAACATATAGCTATATGCATCCGAAGAAGTGGGCTGTAGTCCACGAAAGCTTATGCTCTAATAAATTTGTTAGTCTCTAAGGTGCCACAAGTACTCCTGTTCTTTTTACAGAAGAGACAGGCTCCATGCTCTCAGTTCTGGTACTCAAATACAGCCTGGCCCTGCCCCGTCCAGCCCTTATAAGAGCAGAGCTGCAAGCGCAGGGATAGTCATGCTCATCTTCTGACTGGAGCATTCTCAATGTGCACGGAATCTTTGGTGAACTTAGCTGCAAAGCTCTGACAAGACTCTACTGAGCATGTGTGAACTGCAGTTTTTCAAAGGCTTTTAACTCAGCCAAATTTTGTCAGATTTTTCACAGGGATGGCAAAAATCAGATCCCTGATGCAAAGGCCACCGTGACCCTCTACCAAATTTCTAGCCCCTGCTCCAAAGCATTGGGGCATTACAGCTTTTCAAAGAAAAGATCTCCAGGATTTTTTAACAGTCAGCAAAACAATATATTTTCCCATAAACTCAACTTTTGGAAATGGCTGAACCATTTTTTAATTTTCCAAATTAAAAAATTAAAATCAGTCTGAGGCAGACAACTAGCGTGGAAAATTTCAGTCCAAATAGTTAAAATTTAACAAAGTATAAACAAAGTATAAGGGTCTTACAATGGGAAGAGTTGGGCAATCTTAATGATAAGCCGTGCCACTAACCCCGTCTATAATTATACCAACTAGGAATCAAATAGGGTATATTTCCACTGCTAACCTATAACAATATTTTGGATACATTTCACCGGATCACACCACATCATGTAATCAAAACGAATTGTTGATGAGTCATATTTAGCAAATATCCACGCCATATTTAAAAGTTACACCTCCAGTTTGAGGGAGTTTGCAAAAATAAGCAGAAATATGCAAGTTTTCAAGATACATGGCTTTTTTTCCTGCATGAACCGTGAACTTCAGGCTGCTAACATTTTGTACTAGTGCATACATTAATAATAAGTGTGTGTTTTTCTTTTATAGTAGTGTTTTTCTCAAATACATATTCTCTCAGAATATCAATAATGCACCATTTTTCTATTTGAGCAAAATACTTGACAGGGGGTATGAATTGTCACACTGTCATCCTTAGAATAGGATGCAGTTTTGTTGTAACCCCATTGGTCCCAGGATATCCAAGAGTCAAGGTGGTTGAGGTAATATCTTATATTGGACTAGCTTCTGTTGGTGAGATAGACAAGCTTTTGAGCTTACTCAGAGCTGTTCTGTAGGGCTGGGAATTGTACTCTGAGAGTTTGTCTACATTGCAATTAAAAACCTGGAGCTGGCCCGTGCCAGCTGACTCAGGCTCACCGGGCTCAGGTTAAGGTGCTGTTTAATGCAATATAGACGTTCGGGCTCAGGCAGGAGCCTGGGCACTAAGGCCCCTGCAAGGTGGGAGGGGCCCAGTGCTCAGACTCCAGCCTAAGCCCAAATGTCTACATCAAAACTAACCAGCCCCACGAGCCTGTGTCAGCTGGCACAGGTAAGCCGCAGGTGTCTAATTGCGGTATAGACATACCCAGATCGCCACAGCTAAATACATGGTAGAACAGACTAGCATTAGTAACCCTTAACACCCCTCCGGTCATAGGGGGGAAAGAAAGGGAGAGGGAAAACAAAGACATCTGCGGGGAGAGGGGTGATGAGAGTAAGTGGGTTATAGCTGGTTGTAATAAGCTATAAATCCAGTGTCTCTGTTCAGTCCATGATTTTTAGTCTTGTAAAGTTATGAATTTAGACTCCCAGACTCACCTTTTGGAGGTGTTGTGCAGGTTTCCTTTGAGGATAAAGACTGAGAGGTCAGATATGTAGTTATTATTTTGTGAAAAGTGTTCACCCATGGGTGATACAGTGTTTTTGTCTTTTATCATTTGAGAGCATAGTGCTTGTTTGGTTTCATCCACAGAGTTGTTTTGGGGGCATTTAGTGCATTGGATGAAATACATCACATGTTGTGGTCGGCAGGTGTAAGGCCAATGGAGCTTGAAAGGTGCATTGTGGGAGGTTTTGATCATTGTAGCAGAGGAGGTATGTCTGCAGGTTTTGCATCTGTTCTGGCAGGGGCTGGTGCCACTCTGAGTTGGTGTGTCCTGGTCTGTGAGGAGTTTGTGTCTGATCCTTAGAATAGTAAAAACAGCTAATGTTTTATTTCTGATTCATAGACATCCCTTCACACCTCCTAAGCTTAGTGCTTATGTTGAGGAAGCCAAGACATATGCTGCAGAATATACTCTTCAGACCTTGGGCGTTCCCACAGAGGGAGCAGAGACTCCTGCTACAGCTCCTGCTTTTCCAGGTACGTGAAGGTCTGTACTGAGATGCTCTTCTGAGGATATATTTTTGTTTGCTACTTAATTACATATAGCAGGATTGCAGCTATGTTCAGATTCAAAACTACTGAATGGAAATGCACATATTGTCTATCTGTTTACATATCTACGTATCCATTCCTGTCCCCTATTTGTGGGGAACATAATATAATACTCTGGGTTATGATAGTTTGCTGACGTAAAAATGCATGTTTTCAAATGATGTACTATGACTTCACTGTAGGATCAAGTGAGAGAGGATGGGAGGAGAAAACTTGTTTAAATAAGTTTTGGAGATGGGCTTGAGCTTAAAATGTTTGGATCTGGATCTGCATCAGAACTTCCTCAAAGTTGGGAGTGTTTGGAGCTACAGTTTTGATTTGACCTACTAGAGAAATGAGGGGAGTCACTAAATTTAGGTCCTGATCCAAACTTTCCCAAAATTCAAAAGCATTAGGACTCATTGTTCCAGTCTGGTGGCCCATCTCTGATAAATAGCTTTAATAACTAGCCAAAATGACTAGAAATATTATGGAAAATATCAGGCAGAAACACAAATCCAATTTATAGACACTGCATTTACACTGTTCTCCACTGTGAATGTGCTTCTGAGATCCTGGGAACGCCTTGAGCCAAACTGCACACGAAGCATGCATTAATCATACTACTGAATTGTTTGCAGTATCTTGAGGATGGATTCAATATTATTATATATATATCCAGCTTCCTGCCACAGAAGTCCGCAAAAGCCACAGAAAAATCAATTTGTCTGGGTTTGTGAAGGCTTCCGCAGCATGTAAGCCAAATGGACTTCTTATTGAATTCAGTCCCCACTTACTGCTTCATTATAATATCTCCCTTTCTTTCACCCACCCTTTTTATTTGTCTTGGAAGCTTGACAAATACACATACATTAACTTTTCAGCCTGTAACACATTTGACTTTCCGTTATATTTCCATAATTTTCTGAATACTAAGTTAGTCATGTGGGGATAAATCTTGCCTTTAAATGTGTGTGCCTTCAGAGGAACTCATGCTCCTATGGGACTGGCTGGGCTCAGCTCTCTGCTCCAGGCTTTTCAACCTGGCCGCTGGTGCATGGGGTTGCAACACTGCTCACATTTGGCCCAGCCCTCCTAACAGTCTTGCTGCTCTTGAACTCCGCTCCAGGAGCCACATGCAAGTCCTCTCCACAGCCTCCCACCCAACCCTGGGATCAGTACCTGAATCCCTCCCTGGAACCTCCCCTTCCTGGGACCACCCACTTTAGCCCATCCCACTTGAGCCACTTGAAATGTTGGGGAGGTGTGCTCTATAGCCATATAAAGCATAATTTCCACATTTTCCCAAGATTACGTATTGGAAATATCTCTCTTCTCTATGTGATGTTACTTATACACACACACACATTCTGTGAGGAGACTGTGGTAGTGATTAAGCGTGACTGAATGGTGGCATGCAATTCCATCATTTATACAGATTTCTCCTCATGAAACCTGACCGGGAACATCCTTGTATTACAGATATGTCTTGTCCTCCATATGCCAAGTGTGAAGTAGAGAATATAGGTCTATAGTAACATCCTTAGGGTACGTCTATACTTACCCGCTGGTTCGGCGGTAAGCAATCGATCTTCTGGGATCGATTTATCGCGTCTTTTCTAGAACTACTATACTTCGACTTCAGCTACGTTATTCACATAGCTGAAATTGCCTATCTTAGTTCGAACTGGAGGCTTGGTGTGGACCAGCCCTTAGTTTAGAGCTAACCAAATACTAGGGGGAAATCATTCAGTGAATAGCGGGGCGGGGGAGGGAGTTGGGAAATGATGTGTTCTACAGATTATATATGAAAACTCTGCTAATTAGCTATACCAAAACTGTCACTGTCCAATATGACTGCAAAGTAGAGGAAAATTATCATTTATAACAGCTGATAAACCCAGATGTCAGAACAAGTAAGTATATTTAATCTAACAAATATACTGTTACCATCGACAATGAAATCGCCACCTGTTTACGTAATCGTATAGACAAAAGGATGGTTATCAGCTGTATCAGGTATATTTGCATGAAAATGCATTTTTGTGTTTGTTTTTCACTGCAGGATACACCATTGCTAATCCAGCTGCTACTGTACCAGCTACACAACTAAAACAAGCAGTGACGCTGGGACAAGATTTAGCACCTTACGCAACGTATGAAGCCTACCCTGCCTTTGCAGTGGCTACTCGGAGTGATGGTTATGGAACGTTTTGAGAGACTATTTTGGTTTTTTTTTAAATCAATGTTTTCTTTTAATCAAGTGCAGCAAGAGGCTAGTTCAGTGTGATAATTATTGTGACCTCACGATTTTAAACTAATCTATTGTCCAAAATTAGATTTAGTGATAGTTTTATACTTCTAGATTGATAGTTTTACAATGGAACATATACCAAAACAAATTTTAAAAATCAGTTAAAAATCAATTTTTCACACTGGAAAAAAAACAACAAATTACTTTGGCCCAGGAAAAAGTTCTTAAAGGTTCTCAGGTATATATTACTGTGTGTGTTTACAAACAATAATCCATGCCAAATACAGAAATATTCCCAATTATGTAGCGACTTTAGAGCTTGAAAAGCAGTTCGCCATCTCAGACTAGCTAGCTATGTTAGCGTACCCATATTCATGGTGCATAGCAAGACTTAAAAGCAGAAAGAGGGGCAGTTAGGCACCCAACTCCCACAATTTTTTTAAGTCTCCCCCTAATTCCTCAGGGGCACAAGTGCAGGGCCAGCTTCAGGCACCAGCGCAGCAAGCAGGTGCTTGGGGTGGCCAATGGAGAGGGGTGGCACGTCCGGCTCTTTGGCAGCAATTCGGTGGCGGGTCCCTTAGTCCATCTTGGAGGGAAGGACCGGCCGCCGAATTGCCACCGAAAAATGAAGCGGCGGCGGTAGAGCTGCCACCGATGGAGCTTTTTTTTTCCCCTGCCACTTGGGGCAGCAAAAATGCTGGAGCTGGCCCTGCACAAATGGGCTATACACAGGGGCAAAAGGGAGTTAGAAAGAACAGAATCCTCTTTCCAGGCTGCTGAGTGGTAGTGTTGCTCCACCTCAACCACTACTGCATGACATGAATGGTCGGTGGGATCACTATCCTTCCCCTTGAGAAACACAACAAATCTCTCATTCCCTTCTACAAAACAATTCACTTCCTCTGCATAGCAAAGCTCCCATGCTATCCCCAAACCGAGCCTGTGTGTGCTGGCTACCACCCCAGTCCAATACCACTGCCTGGCTCTCGCTAAATTAGCTACATTATGTCTCAGTCTCTGTTTTCCTTTCTTCCTCTCAGCTGTGTGTATGGATAGGAGGGGCTTTTTGTGTCCTTGGATGCCTCTTTTGTACTTGTACCTCATTCACATAATAAGCCAATGGGGAGTTGATTCTCTGCCTGCTCATCCGTAATAAGCGTAATGAGTTAGATGTGCCCTGACCATGCCAAACTTTCATGAGCCTATGTTGGCCCATGTGCACCTCCACCCAGCTAGAAAATCCTACTATACCGCAGGTCAAGCAAACAATGTGTGAAATATAAGGCAACCCTGGGTGCACAGAGGTCCTGCACGCAGCTTTGGTTCCTTTCAAAATCTTCCATATAAACACTAGATTAGAGGCATTAAACACTCATTTAGGTATCTAAAATGTTTTGAAAACTCTGGCCAATATAGCAAACGCTGGTTTTCACACATTTAGCAGTAAAATCTGATGTGCTTGTTTATGTGCATTTCAGAGCTGATTTGATGTTTAATGTAGAGGATAGGTTTCAGTCACTGGAGTTTTCTCTATCCCCTTGTAGTGCTTAAGTCTGTATAGAAGAAGGCAAAATCTCAACAAAATAATGTATTTTCAACTAGAGAGTAAATAATTTAGAAAAGCAGCCCATAACTACTAATGGTGCAAGCCAAAAAAGGGCTTGTTTATCATGGCTGATTTTCAGTTAAACCAGGCCATGAGAATTCAGAAGTGAGATTTAATCATCATGCTTGCTAAACCTCTCTGAAGATCAATGTGCTTCTAGCACAAGTCATCTCCATGGGACAAATTCACTGTGGGTGTAAGCAAGTTCTTGGAATTACATCCTCTTACACTAGCAGTTAATTGCCTATTGTCCCTGAGAGCATTCGCCTCTACTATAAAAATTATACTAAGAGAAATTTAAAGCCATATAAAATGTAAGAAAACGGAACTTTGGAGAAATATGCCTGTGTTCATCAACAGTTTAGCACGACACTGAAGCCATGTCAAAGTTGCATTATAATTTAAACCAATAGAATCTTTTAATGGCCTTTTGGCCAAAATCCAGTGAAGTATCAATTTAAGAACTGAAATTATCATCTGTTGCAGTCTATAGCTGGCCCTTGCAATTGACTAATTAATTGCACAATATGTTTTCCCATTGTATTCATTAGTCTTGTGACAAGTATGGTAAGGGTTTGTGCAATGCCTGGTCTTATTACAATTTCTGAGGGTTGCAAGTTGATAGTGATCTTTTGAACCTCCCAAAAGCCATTGTACATATGCCTTTCAAGTTTCTTTAAAAAAAAATCAGCTTTTGAAACAACCTGATATCTCCATTAGCCTGAGGAGCCAGAGCCCGTAGGCTGTAAAATGACATTATATCATACAGGCAAGCTCTGGTGATATTAAAATTCCCCTTTGATTTACAGCATGGGAAAAACATCCTTTCACTGCAATATCAGTCACCTCAGACCTACCCAGGAAAACCATCTTCTCTCCAACAAGTGAAAAGACTGAGATATAGCACACATCTTTTAATCACACCAAATATGTGGAGCGCTTCCAACTGTAAAATACTGCATTCCAATTCCTGAGCTGATGATAAGGTAGACTGGTCTATCTGAGTATCTCAGAAAGCTTGCATTCTCCTTTCACATGATATTTCTGCGGGATGTAGAGCCTATAGTTCATACTGTAGCCACACAGACCCTCCTAGTGTGTATCCCACTGTACCCATATGGTACTCACGTCACTTTAAGCCTAGTGAGTCAACACTAGTTATGAAATTGTGTAGTCAGAAAGCTGTGACATTTTTGAGAAGATAAGCCCAAAGAAGTTTGCTGAATGTGAGACTTGATTTTTTTACTACTGTAAATCCGCAAACATTATAGAAAATGTAGGGCTCTTTGGTTCCAGACATATCACACAGAAATGTACTTGAGGCACCAGATTTGGACCCAACTTTCCCAAAATTTGAGAGTGTTCATATATGAGGTTTTGGTTTGGGCCCATTTTTAATTAATAAAACTTGAGCTAAGACTAAACTATACTAAATTACAGAAGTTGCACCTAATTAACATCAATAATTTGCAATGCTTGAAATGAAATGAAATTAAACAATCAGCAAGAAAACACACTGTAGATTGTTCATAGGGTGAGGAAGCAAGAACCAGACACAATACAGTTGTGCAGCTCCAGACAATAGCAATCACACCTTGTAACACAAACTTACTTTTATAGACACAAAGTACTGCCTTGTAAGGTGCTCTGATGACAACTGACATCACTCTAACAGGATCCTCCTGAGACAATGCTACAGTTTGCACATATACGAGCAGAATAAGAAAGCTTAACCTATGGTCCTGGATTTCTAGTTTTTCCTTATTAGGTGAACTGTAAATGTTACTCTATGCATATGAAATCAAGAAAAATAAGTCCTGACCCAAATCTCTCTTCCTTTAAAAAATCATATATCTTATTGCACAATTTGGAGTATGAAGTAATTATAAGTTCAAAACTAGTAGAGTCCAAAATACAGAGACAGAGCGCAATAAGTTATTATTCACAATAATTCAGTACTAGTCTCTTTTTAGTGACAAAATGTCGTGCATGTTAATAAATGGTTATTAAGGTCCTCAGAGATAATAGTTTTAGTACAAAGAGAAAGGAAGCTTATAATAGCTCAGTCTATATCTCAACGTTATCCACAAATATCAGATTTTCATATTGTAGTCACTGGTCATTTTTTTAATGCCACTATTTCAGCTATGCACCTTCTCCATCAAAAAGCAAAACAAGTACTTTCACCACCTTTCACCCATTGACACACCGGTTACATGAGAGGCACTCAATGCTAAAAAATTACCTGATCCTGCCTGACCCAGTGTAGTTAAGACTGTTGCCTTGATTTCAGTGAGAAATGGATCAGTCCCCAAATTTGTAAACCAGTATATGTGAAACAACAACACTGTGAAAATTATTTTGCTTTCTAAGTAGAGTTTTATATATATATAAAGCTCTTCAAAGCACATTGGTATATGAAATAGTGTTTACTAGACTAGTAACAGTTAAGTGTTTGTATTTACCTTTTTCTCGTATTTTTGTGACTTACTTGTAGTAGTAATGGAACAAATGTATAAGCTGTATAGTCTCTAATGCTATTAGTCTACCTATTCCTACAGTGTTTGCAACTTTGTTATAGAGAGACAGGGATCACTCTTCTAAACCTTAATCACTCTTTTAAAGGTATGTGCTCTATAGAATTTATATAGGAAACTTAAAGGGACACTGTCAAGATATTTGTAATCATTTTTAAAACTCTTGGTTTTTCTTTTTAGTTCATTATTCTCTGTAACCCACTGGAGGCTTGAGAGTAAACTGTTTTTAACATTGGGCCTGCTACAGTGCCATTGAAATCCATTGTCCTTGACTACAATGGGAACAGAATCAGACCTATTTTCTCTCCACCCATCACACCCATCCCCTGGTTTGGCATCATAAGATTGCTTATCCATGCTATTTCCAGCTTCCAGGTTGTTTGTTCATTTTAAGTTTTAAAGCATTAGCTTCGGTAAGAAAAAACAACAGTTTATATGGTCTGATTCTGATTGCGTTTGATACACACCCATGTAGTTCCACTGAGTTCAATGGCATTATTCTTGATTTAGGCCAGCATGAAAGGAGAATCAAGCACATTGCTTTTGCAAAGTTGTATGAAGAAGGATGGTTTTATCACTTAGAATGAGGAACCCTGCTTTTGGCAAGTCTCTTAATGCCTTTGTGCTCACTCTCTTTATCTGTAAAACTTGCCTAATAAAACTGTCCTTTCCCCTTCTTCCTAGATTAAATTCTGTAAAGCACATTAGTATCTTCAGCTAGAGAGTGGTATCTAAGTGCAATGTACTCAGATATAAAAGGGGACTCGTAATCATTTGGGATTTACCCACCTTGGCAGTATCCCTTTAAGGGTTTTTGGAAAACAAAAGGGAAATTACATTTTTGTTTGTCAATTCTTTGGTGCCCCCTAGTCTCTAGAGTGTCATATTAATTTAGTTCATTGTTGTATTGTCAAAAGCTTATTCATACGTCAGAGCCACTTGAAATGAAATGGGCCCCAGTCCTGCTCTTCTTAGGTGAGGTAAAACTCTCATTAACTTCGATGGATGTTTTGCCTGAATAAAAAGTGCAAGATCTGGCCACATTTGTGAAAGTTCAGCTCTTCTGTAACTGCTGGAGCTAATGGAGCTTATTTCTATTTATACACTTTAGACACTGTCTCATTAAGGTGATTAAAAAAAAATCATGGCATTCTCCTCTACAATTGATACAGAACTGTTTGCTTGCTGAGAATGACAGCACTGCAGGGAAACCATTTAAGCCCAGCCATTGTACTCAGAGGTTTAAATAATTAATACTATTGTTGGTGTTTTAGCTCAATTTTCCCTTATACATATCCATTTTAAATCATTTTTAGCAATGATACACTAGTGAAAATTGCCAAGAACTAATGTATCCATACATCTACTATTAACGAAAAAGACTTCTGTCAGTAAAAAATGTTTCTCACTTTCATTTGTTAAATAACTATATACTTCTTTTTTTCCAGCTATTTATATAAGGTAAGTTATAACAGGTGCCAAAGCAAAGAAACAGGAACAGTATTAAAAAGTGTGTGCATAAAGCACTTATTTTTGTACTTTTAGTACAATATTTGTATAGCGTTCTAACACTGTGAAATGTAATAAAAATCATACCATCCATTTACTGGAAAAGCAATCATCTGTTTTGAAAAAATAAAATAAAATTTCCATCTAAGAATCAGGAATTCAAGGGATATTGTAAATTGGATTAAAGCAATTTTGTAATTATCGGCTCATCAAAGGACATTAACTGGACTTTGAAATATCATTAAACTTTCTAAACTAACATGAAAGTTTCTCTGGTTTTTTTGTTTGTTTGTTTGTTTGTTTGTTTTTGGTCAGTTGGCCGTAGCTTCATCTAAGAGTCATTCTGCGTATTGTACGTAAGAAAACAGTTCAGGTTCTGTTGAGCTCAGTATGGAGTGATGCCACATATAATAAGTATGCAAATAAAAATGTATCATTATTAAGCTGACTCTTCAAATCAAAGATTAAGGGTGTTTTTGGATTTATGTCCCATTTATAATAAATAAGTGATCACTAAAATTAAACTTCAACTGTGCCACCTAGTGGAAAAAATAAATAGTTACATTTGCTTTTTAAATTGGTTACAATAGGAATAGAGTTATATACGCGATTTAACAATTCTGTGTCCCAGCAGATCAGTCACACCAGACGCACAAAGAAGTACTGGCGATCTCTATGGGAGTGGCTCTGCGACAGTAAGCACTGAGCCCTTTGCTGACTCTCACTCAGGACTAGATATATAATAGCTTCAATTTAAAAGAGCCCCTAGGATTTCAGAAGGACATTCCATAAGGATATAATGTATCTGAAAAGGATATATAATGAAATCAAGATCCAGAGGCCCTGTTATTTTCCTGGAATAGGAACTAAATGGCTTATTTTATTTTAAGGAAAATATGCATCTTCTAAACTGAAAACTGAATAGTTGGAAGTCTAAGAGGTTTGGAATCCAAGGTGGGGTTCATGTGTATGAAACAAACAGAAGAGCCTAGATATTATTCTAAAAACAAGCCAAAATATAGCCTGTAACTTGCAAAAACCTCAATATTAGTTTGAGCAACGAGTCATCCTTGTGGTACCGTAGAGACTAACACATTTATTTGGGCATAAGCTTATTTTAGCCCACGAAAGCTTATGCCCAAATAAATGTGTTAGTCTTTAAGGTTCCACAAGGACGACTCGTTGTTTTTGCTGATACAGACTAACACGGCTGCTACTCTGAAACCTGTATTAGTTTGGTTCCTCTCTCCTGCTTTAGGCTGAGCTAGAGCACACACAGCATAAGCAGTTCAGAGTTTACAGAGCTAACGTGTTTTCAAAGCAATCTGTGCCTTCTGTACAACTGCAGTCCGTCAGGGTAGACAGTACTAAATTGTTTTGTACAGTCAAGGTCATTCCAATACTTCAGATAACAGCATTTGTTTGAAAGCTGGCCAGCCCTGAACTATTAGAAAAACAACATTTTTTCAAAAGCTCACTGCTTTTTTTCTGGATGGAATGTCTCACAAATCCAAATTCCCAAGCTTCATATAAAAAAAAAATCTGGTTTGGCGCATTCATGTAAGCCTTTGGTGAATGTAAAATCATATATAAAATACAAGAAAAGTATTATAAATTCCATTACATCTAAGAATTTGTGAATGGTATATAGAAGATCTGAATCGGAGCTATGGGAAGGATGGGTTTGGGACTTTGGTTATATAAGCATTTAAAAGTCTGGATTGTTATCTGAATCTTTTCCAAACTACCTGTGCTTCTTAGGTCTGTAAAACCAGACAAGGAATCTTGCAAGAAGAAAATTTCTCATGATACTTCTAGTACTTTCAGGATACCAGAATTTTACTCTTGTTCTTAATTAGATTACTGGACCTAGATTTAATAAAATTCCATGGAATGGATTAAGATAACTCAATATATTACATAAATATATTTAAAGGAACATATAGAAACACCACTAAGACATTACTCATAATGAAAGTAACCCCATAATTTATTACCAGTCTCTTGCCCTCCCTTTCACCCTACTTCAGCCAGGATTGAATCACTTCTATAATTAGATTATAAACTCCTCAGTGCAAGGATCATGTATTTAATTTGTTTAGCAAAGAGCCCAGCACTCTTTGGGCATTGTCTAAAGAAAGAAGGGGGAGAGAGAAGGAATGCACAGAGACTGAGAACAGACAGAAGAGAGAGAGGCAAAGGAAAAAAGCAAGAAAGACAAGTTGTAGCCAGTGTGCAGAGCGACACCCTGGAAAAAAAGCTAGAGAGAGAGCAATGAGGTCTGTTGGCTAAAAAGGCTTGTACCTGTAAGCTAAGAAACTGCTCCTTTTGTTCATGGTTCCTCCTGCTTTCAGAGAAGCAGGACTTCGTACACTACTTGTAAATAAACAAGATTGCATCAAAGAAAATACCAGACTCCAACAATTTCTTCTCCCACCCGGAACATCCCAGGGCACCAAACTTGACTAGCCACTCAAGTAAAAAAAAAAAGGGGGAGGGGGGGAGAGCATCAAGACAAACCTTCTCTGGGACTGCTACTACAGATGTCAATTGAAATTGGATTTGTGGCAATAGTTATCAGACCAAATTCCTCATGGTGTAAATGGATGAGTCCTCATTAAAGTCAGTGGAGCTGCATTCATTTATATCAGCACACAATTTGGCCCATAGAACACAAATGTGTTCACTAACGTCTGAAAAGCTGCTGTTTATTGAAAATATATGTTTACAAAAGTTCAGGTTTTGTGTAATTTTCATTTCTCCTGCTAATGCGGTGACTATCTCGAGTAAAATGATCCCAAATGTCAGTTACCGTGCTTACAAATGGAAACAGTATCACTATCTAAAGATACCACCATGCTATAGATGCATTTTGATGCAGCATGCTTAATCTTGGCACAGGCAGTGATTTCTGTTGGGTATAAGAACCAACTCTCAAAGTGTCTGGCTTGTGCAGTGAATTTCCCCTCAGACTCCCAAGGGAACAGGGTATTTGCTGGGTTGTCTAGTTCCCCCATGATAGACATAGGCATGACTGGTCTCAGCCCATTCACTATTAGCTTAGACCTGGCTCTTTCAGGGAATAAGGTACAAACGAGAAGTGCTAGCAGAGAAGTAAATGGAATGATCAGACATTGACAAGAGGCAGCCTTTTGCTAGATAAGAGACTTCTGTCGGTTATAGTTGTTGAAGGAGACAAAGAAATATATTGGAATGGTGCATCACATGGATATTTTTTCCTTCTTGTTCAGTGAAGTGCAATCAGACAGCATTGGTATCAGTACCAACAAGGACAAGAAGAAAGCAAAATGTCAGAAAAATGCCACTGTATTAGACAACTGCACAGCAGCATTTTCCCATGCACTAACCTTCTATTGAAGAAACACCCTAATTGATGTGTTATGTTCAGGTATCGTGTAATATGAAGGTATGTACAACAATGAGAGGCCAGTCAGGACTCCTGAACAACAAGGAAGTGTAGCTCAGGGCAGATAAGGATATAAGATTCTGATTTGTGTCTAAGACATGACCACAGTTTAAATCCCCATTCAACTGCAGAGCCCACAGGCTGACAAAAGGTCAGTTGAGTGTTTAATAGGGAAAATGGATTTGTCCCTGACATACATTCAAACACGAGTCCCTGAAAGGTGCAGGGCTGCATAGAGCACATGTGAGGTGAGGTCAGAGTATTCAAAGTAACAAGTGGGCGGTCAGCCAGAAGGTGGTGGTACAGGACCTCAGGCAGTGGTGAGGGGTCAGGAGTAAAAGGCCCCATCGCCAGTTAGTTTAGATGCTGGGGTATTTGTTGGGCACCAACTCCCCTTCGGAAGCTGCAATTCCTTTCAAGAGGAAAAGACAGGGTGAAATGAGCAGTTTGGAGGAGACCATTTCATAGTTGCGTGGGAGGATATGGCCTATCTTCCTGGGCAAAATTTGAATTGGTTGACTGGAAGCACAGGGTGAGTGGGTAGCCAGTTAACTCTTGCAGTAGATAAATTCAGTTCAAGTTTTCAAAACAAAATTTTGGCCAAAACCTTTGGCCATCATATCATGTCAGTGAGTTCATTTTGGGGCAGTGGAGAAGGGTACACAGAGGAGGTGACGGTCAGCAATGATGCTATTATTGGTAACCTGCTAGAATTGCAAGCTCTGGGACTTGTGTGAGCAGAAGTTATAATGTAGTTTCCATTGAGCTTGTCTCAGAATAGAGACATGTGGAAATTATTCCTTAAAATACCTGAATGTGTATATTTACATTTTTTTCTGTTTACATTAATTCTGAATTCTACCTGTTCCACTGAATTGGGCAGTAGTGTCCAGAGCTCCCAGTGCTAGAATAGGTAGCATTACAATTTGCTTTGTTCCTGCATTCTTCAGTATCATTATTTATGGAAGTACTGAATCCTAATGATTAGAGAGATTTCAACATTCTGCTGCTAACTATTTATATTACATAATGTTCACTAGGAAGGTTCCCAAAGCTGGGCAGATACTTAATCAGAAAAAAAACAACAGCCTAGGAAGAACTGAAGAATAGCCTTAAATACCCAGAAGCGATTTTTGAAGAATTTTAAGGAGGTCAGCTGTATTCTGAGCTTTACTCCATCAAGAAGAATTTGTTCTGCCAGTTCTATTATTCTACCTCATTTACCTTACTAATTTTCTGCTCTACCTCATTTAACTCCACTTATTTCCTGCTTTCATTTTGTTTTAAGATCATGGCAAACACAGAACTCAGGTTTATTTCTTCCTTCAAAAGGTGCCTTAGAGCTCTCAGAAACTGCCGTTCACTTTGTTGTCTCATCTGACTAGATGATACATCAAGCAACCGTCAGATTTTCTTTGATGAATACCTGTGACTAAAATTCAAAAACCCAAAGAAGGCCAGAGAAATAATACTTCCCTAAATTAAAGCAATATGCTCGTGTTGGACAGTAAGATGCAGCTGAAAAATCATATTAGTGCTCTGAAATAGGACAAACATGGAGAATTGAAACCTTCAGAGAGAAGATTGAAGACCTGGAAAACCTGAAGATGGCAACACATACATCAGTTCATTGGACAGATTGGGACTATGTTGGCACTGTCCTCACCCTCTGGTGCTGTCAGGAGGTCCCAGCAATATAAATTCTGTTCCCCTAACTTCACATTACCAGTATTGTCAGCAGGGAAACCCAGTCAACTTGGTGGTAATTCACGAAACAGCGAAGATATTGCTCAAGGATCTGGTTAATCCCCTCTGTTTTCCCATTACTGCAT